AGTCATTCTATTTATCATTCTTTTTTCTCTCTATACCCTTCTTCATACTCTTCTTTCACTGTTTATTTGGATATGATTAATTTGTCTTCATACAGCATGTGAACAGCTCTAAAAATCTGTAAAACAAAATTTTCAGTATCAATAACTATACTGATTAAACATATTAGCAAGGATATTATAGAAAATATATCTTTTGACTTTTATCTCCATCCCAGTGTTAACTGTTGTGCTGTACGTATCGTAATAAAAAAAAAACAAACCAAAAAAACCCCAAAAAAAACAAAACAAAAAAAACCCAAAAAACCCAAAAAACACCAAAACAAAAAAACCCCAAACAAACAAACAAAAAAAACCCTCTTGAAATATTCAAGAATATGTCAGTCTGAATGAATAACTCCACAAAGGTTTTAAATCAATTTATGTAATTCAAATTCAGAGTTTAATTTTATGGTAAATTTAAATTCTATCATAAAGAATGTTAAACTCTATACCTCTCTTTTCACCTTATGTTTCTATCAGTAATAAAAATCTGGTTTTCATAGCAAGTAATTATGAACATATAATATTCATTGAAAAGATTCTATCTGTGGTGGAAAAAAAATGTTCACCAAAGGAAAAAAAAATCCCTCATCATATTCAGTAAAAAACTTAAAGCAATCAAGGTCCTCAGATGACATTCCAGTACTTAGATTAGAACTTCTTCATTAAGTTACAGCAATCTCCTATGCTGCTGTAGCAGCAAAATCCAAATAACTAAATAACCACAACTGAAGAATCCTTTGTTATACGTATTGAAAAATGAAAGAATAGAGACCAAAAAATTCCTTTGATCCAGCCTGGTTGATGCCAGCCACTCTCAGAGCTAGATCAGGTGCTGAAGCTGAGTGGCTGGAGCACCTGGCAATGTGGAACTCGTGGATGGTGCTCCAGCCTTCCATGCAGCTAATGCTAGACCTCCAGCAATCAGATAAAGTCAGCAGGAAACCCATCAGATGGGCAGTTCAAGGCAAAACCCCAGAGGGCTGCAAGAATGGAAAGGCAGCAGGGGAGGAGAACAAACAAGAGATACTGAAACCGCAAACAACCAGAACAAACAGCGGCAACAGGGAAGAGCAGTTTAAGAAACAAACATAAAACTGAACCGCACAACACTCTATTAGCAAGACAAAGCATGGAGAGCTTCAGGCAGGCTGAAAGGCAAGCAGGAACTAGTGATGGATTTGAAACACTCAATTCCAGAATGAAATTAATTCAACAAATAAAACCTATGTTTTAGGAGGAGACTTTTTTAATCACCTATTTTATATTTGTCCTAATGCTATCTGATAGAGGTTGAAAATTCTGAAAATCAATCTGAGAATGTGACAGAATTATAAGTCAGCTGGAGAGCCAAACTAGCCTGTTCACCAAAGAACAATTTGAGATTATTTTTAAGAAACATCCAGAATAGAAGTGCAGCTTCACAAAAACCTCTGTCTTAAGTAAGTGACAAATATTACCTCTTTCAAAATAAAGGAGAGGTTGTCCTTGTTTTTTGGGGTTTTTTGGGGTTTTTTTGGGGGTTTTTTTGGTTTTTTTTTTTTGTTTGTTTGTTTGTTTGTTTGTTTGTTTTAAATTAAACTACAGGATGAGGTACCTCTTATTTGACCCTACAAAACAGCTCATAAACAGTCAGAACATTCTTCCAGGCTGACTGAACTATTTCTTATGTTCAAAGAACTCAACCCTGTATTCCTATCTGTCTTTAAAGAGGTGGGTTACTGTATCCATCAGGACATTCTCCATTCTCCTCATGAAGGCTATGAAGTTATAAAGGACAATGTTAAGCTGGAGAATTCTGCAGCATATGAACCACTTTAGCTGGGAAGAGAACTTCAGATTGCTGTGTCAAAAGCTGACATTAGAGTTGAGTCTGTCCTTAGCATGGATACTGGAGCCCTCAGGTGAATACAAACCACTAAGCCTCATGTTCACATGTACTTTCTCTCTGGCTCACTGAATCATAAATTATTTTCTGCCTAAAATAACCAAGGTCAAGGAAACTCCTTGTACGTGAGAAGAGATTCTGAACCGGTTCAGACCTCAAGTATTGTGGGCGAATTCTTTAACTGAGAACAAGTAAACACACAGAGAGACTTTTGTATCAGCAGCCCTTCAGCTCCCTGCTCTGAATGCAATAAACTATTTCTTGGGTGGGGGAAGGGGTTCAGGTCGTTTGGATTCTTTTAATTGACTTCTATTCCTGAGGCAAGTCAGGTAGAGCATGAGGAGAGGGCACGGTGCTCTGCTTCTTCCTGTTCTCTTTCCATCTCCTCCATGAAGTGCAGGAGAGATTCTGTACACACATGAACAGCCAGGCCCACCCTCGTCTGCAAGGAGTGAAGAAACAGAGGGACAGCCAAAACAAGGTGGAGCTGGTGCTGTCCTTTAACTTGACACTTGGCATTTGCTGCCTCCCTCTCTGGACAGAGAAGCCTTTTGATGGCAGACTCTGACCAGGTTATTTGGGGCCTGAAGGACCCGCTTCCCACATGGCACAATTTCCTCAGTACCTCCTCACCTTACATGTAATGGTTACATCTCATTTGTAAGTTCTACCATTATTGACAAGATAGAAAGAAAGGTTCAATAAGGAGGTGTCTAACCAGGTAAAATATGGAATCTGATCACATTGTTGCAAGTTCAGTGTGTATGTTAATCAGGATTTTGTGTCTTTCCTCAAATCTTTTCTGGCACCTGTAGGAGAACAGGAATTGTTGAGAACAGAGAGTGAATATCACTTCTGCATATTCCAAGACAAGCAGTGCCCTGTGGGAATTTAAAAAGTGCTGCCATGCAGCCTGAGTGATGGTTGTTTGAGGAAGACTGACTAAAAAAATTCCCAGATTCTGCAATTAGCCATGTCATAGTGACTGTTAAGCCTGCTTCTTTCTGCATTTCTGCATATGCTTATGCAATACAGAGATCCCACTCTCTACCTCAAAAAAAAAATAATTACCGTTAGTACTGGTTACTCACTAACAAACAACCAAGATATGTTATTAAAAAAAATTTCATTGTGGCATCAATCTGCTTTAAAATGTAAAGGAGGGGTGGGCAGAGGAAGAGAGGGAGAGAGAGATGCTGTAAGTTCAGAAGAAAAACACTGTTATTATTCTGAAGCAGGAATGACATCCTTGCATTAACACAGCATGAAATCATGGTAGCAATTTTCATGCTGTATTATTTTGTTTTTGTCAGGTCACTGATTTTCAATTTCATCAATACTATATAAAACTAAGGAAGATAATATAATGAAAAGCATCCACTCAGAGTCTGATACCGAAGCAAGAACATGTTGCTTTTTTTGTGAATTTAAACCAACCAATCCACACACAGAAAATACGTGCTATTTTAGTCCCCAAAAAACATAAATACACTGGACCCAGAGGTTACAAAAAAGACAATATACTAAAGTAAACCTGATACAATACTAACTGTATGATTTACAGGTTCACCTTTACCTTCCTCTAGCATGCAAAATAGACAAAGTATAAAGCAAAAAGCCACAGTAGGCTTTGTTTACAGTGATCTAAACCCGTGTTCTTGAACTTTTCCCAAGCACTATTAATTTAAAGTGAAATTACAACTTAAATCATCCCAGATTTAGCTCACTGATTCTCATCACCCAACTCTCCTTCTGTGTTTTGGCTGTATCATTACAACTGATCTGAGGTCTCCCGAACCACAAGTTATGGCAAGATACAGAAATAAGAGTGACACACACACTATTTTCAAAGCAAGCTGCCAAGCCACCACCCATGAGGATATCACTCCAGGAAGAAAAGCTCACAGAACTGCATATGGGTAGCAGAGAAGACCCTGGAGATCCACCTCTCCATTTGGAAGCATTTATGAGGTCCTTTGCCTAGAGAAGGGAGGAAGGCAGAACAAAAACCAAGGAGTTGTCACACATACAAAACATACAAATGGGCTTGGAGTTTGGCATCTTGGCCATGAAGTGTGTCAGTATCTGCTTCTCTAATTCACAACTGTTTCACCAGGTTCTACATCCCTGAGCACCTTATCTGAGTGTCTTCACAAAGCCTCAACCCAAGAAACCTTCTTATGAAGGAGGCACCAAACTTTCAGTTTTCCTCTCAGGTGTACCCCTGTGCAAAATCAGAGATGATTTTCCAAGGAAATATGTGCAACTTCCATTTCAGAGGGGACTGGAAGGCCCTAAATGCTTTCTCCAGTGGAGGAAAAGGGCAGCAGGAAGAGAGGCACACCCACATCCATCCTTTATTTTCCAGTTGTACCCATTGCAGGCATGTCCCTCACTGACTGACCCTCCAGGATTCTTCTGAAGCACTGAAGAAATCCAAGTTCCTTTGGCTGGAAGGAACATAATGCTCAGCCCCGTTCTGGATGGGTGAGGAATGAGCCATCCCATAGCTAACACAGCCTCCTCTGAGGACAACAGTACTTCTACCTTCTTTGTAAGAGTTGAAACATGAACAATTGCTGTGATATCCTCCATTGTCCTCCAAACAATGGCAGCCATATGTTTCCCCTATTAAAATGCTGTGGGAGTAAATTAGACATTCCATGATTTTTTTATAAAACTGGATCCTTCCCATGGCTATTTGAAAATAATTAGTTCTTCTTCAACACTGAATGATTAAAATGTAACTAACACCACACTTCTTTCACATGATCAATGTTGGTACAATGAATAGTGCATGAATTAATAATGTCTAGGCACTTTTTCTAATTGTTTCCTAATGTTCTGTTATTATATATTCATTTGATATTCACTGCAATGCTAGTGATCACCATTTTTTAATTTGTTCCACAAAAATCACACAATTTGCCTTTGCTTTCTGCAAAAGAATTAAAGGAACGAAGTGCAGTCACCTGATTTCTGTCAGGTGAGATCCCAGGTGACTGGAAAAGGGGAAGCATTGTACCCATCTTTTAAAAAGGGTAGAAAAAAGCATGCTGGGAACCACTGACCTGTCAGCCTCACCTCTGGGCCTGGGAAGATCATGGAACATTCTGGGAAGATCCTCCTGAAGCTCTAATAAGGCACATGGAGGACAGGGAAGTGATTCAAGACATCTTGCATGGCTTTATCAAGGGCAAGTCCTGCAAGACCCAGAGGCCCCACATGTCAATTATCTGGATTTCTGTAAAAAAACCTAAAAAACAACCCCAAAACCCCCACATCAATTACAATGCATTTTTTTCCAAGTATTTAATTCCCTAGAAGGTGGCATTTTTTTATCTTCTATGGTGTACAAATTTTCCAGGTGGCATCAGATTTCTTATTATGAGCTGCCTTTCTTCGTCTGTTTTCAGGCTGAGAAGTATGAAGAGAAAATCAGGTTAGATTGTTCATGGAATTACCACCTTGTCTTTAAACAAAACAAAACATTCTAATAACTCATATTAGCAAGCCGCACACTTAGGAGGAAAAAATTAAAAGCATTGTGTAGAAACACATTATTTAAAAGCAGGGCACCTGAATGTGATACAAGTAACAAATGTGATATCCAGAGGAGCACGTAGTACTTGTTTTGTTTGTTATTAGGCTTTGCTAGGCTTGATCATATCTCCCAGCACAAAATCTACTAAGACAGATCACTCAAGACAATACCACAGAGTATTTTTCTTAACACAAATAAAACATCCACCTTTTTCCGAAAAGCTCAAAAAAGTACAAAATATGAAATGGAATGACTCCAGGCTTTGTTTTGTGCTGTTGTCCATATCTTCAAAATACCTTATCAAACAAAAGGAAAAAAAAAAGTGCTTACATCAATATTTTATTGAAATTCTTTCAGAGAAGACTAACATGCATTATATTTTCAAGATGAGATGCAGACTATTTTACTTGCAGCAGAGAGCAATATATTGGATGATAGCTGACATTTGACTCCCAGGGTTTTTCTTTTATGAATCAAAATTCATTTATGGATAGTAAAGTAGAAGAGTGTGGCTAAGAAATCAATAAAAATGTTCTGTATTCTAGTTATGGAACATAGAGATAACCTTAAATCAACATTAAAGATGCTGGCCTGTGTAAACATTGACAAAGCCAAAGGAATTATTTTAAATAATAGACTTCAACAAGCAGGTATCAACAAGCTCTGTTAGTGGAGGTTGCTGCCATCATTTATGATGGTTCTAATTTATTCAGCGTGTGAAAATGATCAGTGGCATGCAAATGATGGTTTAATTTAGAAAAAAAAATTCAAACTATATGACAATGTTCATCTTTCCTCTAACAGCTCTAAAATTAAAAATATATATATTTTTTAAATACATAACATTTATTTACTGGCTCACCCCAGCTCCATGCCAGTTGCCAAAGACAGTTTTGTTTTTATTTTCCTTATTGGCAATGAACACACTGAAATTACACTGCTGAACTCACATAGCCCATGCATTAATAAATGCATAAATCAGCAAAGCCCATAAAATGAGTAGAACAAAGACCTCATATTTCCTGGCTGTCCAATATATGGCTGCTGTTGGAAAGTACTGTTTGTGTTCAAAGAACAAAACATCACAACAGCAGAGAGGGATGAGGCTGTGAGCTGTCTGCTCTTTACATGCACAAATAAGCCCATCTCCCCAGCCTGGAAAGAGAACTGACCCAAATGACCCAAACAGAAGGGCAAAACAGAAGAAGGGGGTGAAATGGTTTTTACAAACAGGCCCAACTGAAACAAAGAATCAATATCAGCAGAAACTCTGGTAAAGAACAAGACACATTCCAAACCTGTTTTATAACAAATACTAATTCTAGGAAGATATAGTTTTCAATTTTGGGTTTGAAACATTCTGTTTCTGAAAAACAGGAGCCTAAGCTAACCTTTTGGCATTAAATAAAAACAATAGCAAAAAAAACCCTATTTACATTCTGTTTTACTTCAAGTATTTGGGTTTTTTTTAAACTTTTGCCTGTTTGCACACCAACATGTAAATTTCCCCTGATTCAACAGGCTGCTTGAAATAAAGCTGTTTCTTGAGACCTCTCAGGTAGAACTTTAGAACATCCACTTAATTTTCAGTTTATTCAGAAACAGTTCCATTCTATTTATTCTAAATGATGATGTGTACTGCAAAGAAAGCTGTCAGGAGTACCTACAAGTATACAGTTCATGACTACAGCACATATCTTATTTATTGAGTCTTCCAATTGTTGTTAGCACATATTGCTAACAAGGCTCCAGAACCTACACTTCTGAGAATATAAGATTTCAGTAAAAAAGACATATCTGTCTCTCAGATATATATAAAAAAGGACTTAAATATGCAACTTCTATATACCCCAAAGACAAAAGCTAGTATCAAAGAAAAGAAAAGATCCAAAATGTCTTTCTCTTTTATGTTTTAAGCAATAGACTTGATTCTTCTACATTTAACAATATTAGCAATACTGTATATTCAAAATGTCAGGAAGTCTTTGCCAGCAGGATCAACACAATGAGAATGAGGAATAAAACAAGTCCAGGCAAAAGAAAGTGCTTTCTCTCCCCTTAGTCTGATGTTTTACTAAGAAATCAAAATATGCTTATTACTCTCTATTGGGAAATTTCACCTTTATTTTATGAATATTTACTTAGCTGAATACCTAGTACTGCTAATCCATATTTTATGAATATGCGTACACACACACAAAAGCTACATGGAAATTGTTTTCCTTATAACATAAAAGAACTTTTTCTCTTGGTGAGCATTTATTATTTTGATCAGGGAGAAGAGATAAGCCCTGCCACCAGTCCAAAATATATATCTGAATCTTGAGAAGTTTTTAAGACTATTTCCAAGCTATGGATTACTTTTTTGTTGTTTTGATATTGTACCTTTTGAGGCAGAAAAGGAGAGACTTTTTCCTTTCATCTTTTATTTTGTCCTTTATTATGCCCTTACCTATGTTATCTTTAGTGAATAATAATACATTTCATAAAGATAACCTAATTATTTTCAGGACAATAAGCATCAAAAAGCCTCAGTGGCTGTGGATAAAAATGCTTACCTTTTCACCACCCCCATCATGTGATATTTTTATATCAGCTATTTTCCTTTGCAAGGGTGCAGGGAGAAGCATCAGAAGCATTTTCTGCTCACATAGAAAAGAATAACTCAATATATGTGTTTCAGAAACCATTTCTCAGGATCTTTCAATTCCATTTATTTCAAATAGCACTGCCTCAAGAGTAATAAATATACAACTGCCTGGGGACAAAACAAAGTGTTTAATCTTGATGCAAGAGGTTGCACAGTTGTTAAACAAGAGAACCTCAGAATTTGTTTCTATTAGACAGAAGAAAAGAAGAATTTTATTCAGAATACTTTCTGCCAACCAAAAGAATTAAGAAATGTACGCAGATTTTAGCAATAAAGATATTAAATAAATGTATCATGCATGAGGATTTTTGTATGCTGACCTTAAAGCTGACTCTTTAACTCAGCAGGAGGCAAATCAGACAGAGAAAATCAACATATTTTGTAATGGAGCTATGTGTAGACACTAATGTTTACATCTTTGTTGACTCTGGTTCAGGAAAACATGAACATTAGTACTTCCTTTACAAAAGTCTCGTTACTAACCCATTGCAGTGTATCACCACTGTAAACACCTACATATGCTCTTGCTTTGTTCAACTCAAAAAGACATGCTGGCATTAAAATTGTTGCTGAGGCCTGCCTTATTTGTATTTATGTATTCAGGAATACCCTAAAGTGAGTAATTTTTTTCAGTGGTATTACAGTGATTTAACCAAAACATATGCTTGTCCTTCATCTAAAGTGAAATTGTTAGTCTCTAAAAGGAGGAAACAGTCTCAAAGGACAAGAGAAACACCCACACTTTCAGTTGAAAGGTGTCTTTAGATGTGTCAGTGTTTTGTCTAGTCATCTCAGCACACAACCTGTGTCTCAATGAACTATTTATAAATTAACCATAGATAGCTAAGGCATTAAAGAAGGTCAAAATGCAATATTATTATTTAGTTTGAATGAAGAAGTTCCAATGTATAAAAATAATAATTTATCTGATTGTATTTTGATGCATCTGAACAAGCTATAGATTTTTACTCCAAGGGTTTCAACCATGTTTTTCCTAATTCACTTTATTAGCTGAAGGCAACCCACAATTTAGTATGGCAAGACTTTAGTGCCCAAGACTGCCAGAAATTATGGTCTGTAAGATCGTGCACAACACCACTGCTCAATCAGGCATCCCTGTGCCACCAAATTGGAAACTCAGGCCCCTTCCAAGAAAACAAAGATGACAACAACTACTTCATAGGGAAAAATCTGGATTGGCAAAACCCAAGAAATTTATTTCAAAGTGACAAAGTGGATCACAAAAAGGTAAATTTAATTTTGGAGCTCTCTTTTTAGAAATACATACTTTTTTATTTTCCTTAGCAAGGATGTCTAATTGCAGGTTTTAGGCAAACAGATCTTAAAAAAATGGATTAATGATGACACTCCTAAAATAAGGGTTCTCTTCAATGTGGTGCTTTCATCTCAGCCATAAAACATGATAAAAGGCCTGAGATGAGACAACAGGACAGCTAAATTCATTAAAAGACAAATTAATGAATGGCATCAATGATGTAAGCTTACAGAATCCATGCAAGCTTACAGAATAGCAAGTAATTGAGACCCGAAAGCTAAAAGTTCAGCAGGCAAAGATGAGAATAAAGCTTACAAGCCTTTCTTCTTAAAGAAGACAATGTAATCCATGACATCTGAATACCAAAATAATGGTTCAGTACTCCTCACCTCTCACAGAGAGAGATTTTGTCTGAATGTTGCTATGCACTGGCCTATGAGTAAGAAAAGCAAAGCTGCTTCTCTTTCACATGAACTACAGTTCAAGCACCAAGCTGGGAGTTCATTGGTGGGAAGACTCTGGTTTTGTTCTGTACTTGCCTAAGTTGTAATTATTTGTGTCTTCTCCTAGAAACCAAAGAAAAAAACAAAAAAAACCCCAAAAAAACATTTTGCATTAGCTAAACCAGATTTAAAAAAATAATATTTGATGGTGCAATTTTGGGGAAGTATTAGAACAAAATAAAAAGTTTTCTTATTTTTAGAAAATACACACACACACATATATATATATA